CGAACTTATAGCAGATATAGAATTGTGATTACATTTACATATTTTTGCTAAATATTGCATTTATTACATTACGTGATTATAATGATATTTTACCACAGGGATCGTCCATAACAAACGTAACGTGCTTGGAGCAGCGTTGTACGGATAAGAGAGTCATTGTTTAGTTTCACGTAATGCTAATATTTAGTTTTATTTTTTTCACAATTTGCAGAAATTATTCCTTTTATTCAGTGTTATACTAAAACAATACAAAATTAACTATACACATTAAAAATATACATAAAATAAAAAATGGTGATATATGACTTGTTATATATCACCATATAGTAAATATATATGACTATATGATATATAAATATATGACTTGTTATATACCACCAACAGTAAATTGTTGTAATAAATTGATTTCATTAAACTTTGAAAAAAATATTTTAAACTAATCTATAGTATATTCTGTACTCGAATTAAATTCTCGCAGTAAACTCGAGGTTCATGCTTAATCCACGACGACTATTATTCGGCTTGTCAGATATGTTCTCGCATTTGCGTCCTACCTTCATTAAAAAGTGTCCCTTATCTTGTTGTTTGGTGCACTACGCATCGCCAAATAATTCTGATTTCAATTATCAATGTAACTATCAAATACAACTCGTTACTATTTCATAATTTATTTTTTACTTATTGCACGTGGAGTGTGAGGGTCTCCTCCAAAGCGTTACATAATTATTTAGGGGGGTTCAAGCACTCTTTACAGTTGCATTAAAGAGGAGAGAGTGGGCATTCAAAATACACCAAATTTGCATCAAGTAAATCATGGCAACTATTAGAAAACTATTCAAAGATAATAACAGAGGTTTATAAAAAATTTGAACTCTTCTTTCAAAATTACTTGTAAAATAAAGTACGATCTATAATACCAAAAATATAATTTGGCTACGTTATTCCTAATTTTCTTAAAAGAATATTAATAATTTAATAACTAAACAAATTGTTCAGTATTAATGTAAAAATAATAAATCATAAAAAATTTTATACAATATACTCTTTAAACATAGTTACCTTAAAAAATTCGATGAATCGATGATTAGATGCGATTTCGTGTCACTTCTCTCTTCACGTTTTTTTGCCACAGCACTGAGAATGTATCCTTATGCAATTTCGAAAAATCCAAATAATTGTAAGAATAATGTGAATGTTGTCGAATTCACACTGATCACAAAAGGTTATGACGCCGACGGCAGCTGACGACGGATTGAGGACGTAGTTACGGAATCGATTCAACAATGGTTGGAGATCCAAGGCCATCGTGATAGAGAAGCTTCAACTGGAGCACATCCGAAAGCATCCAAATTTAGGGATTACACAAATTCCTCTCATTTTACGATGATGATGTACGCATAATGATTTCTGTGAAGAATGTGTGCTTAATATGATTAAACAATTGTAATTACTGGCGATAAATTGTCCCATTAGTAAAACTAAGTAAGAAAATAATGGTATTATTAAACAAAAATTACTGTAGATATCAAACAAAAAAACACTCAGGAAAATTATATTAATGAAATTATAGTTACAACAAACACAAAGAGATTACGTTCATTCAATGTGCTACCTAGGGGATCAAACTATCCATATAACGCTGTGAAAAATGATATTTAAAACGGCCAGATTCCTTCTGATGATACAACGTTGAAAGAGCTATTTCACATTACAGTCAAAATAAATTCACTTAAAACATATTATCAATGCAAAATGATATAATAGAACCATTTGAAATGAATGAATCTTTAATTCTGTAACATTAGTCATTAACATAAGCAAAAACGGCTGAATAGAAATGCAAGAATACACTTATTACACTTTTCGTAAACCGGTGCGAATTGACAATTTTCACTTCAGGGGAGCATTCAAGATTTCAGGAGCGGACGGCCGAAGTGCTGATGGTGAAACGAATATCGTTTTCGCTTACGCAACCAAATACGCATGAATCCTGATAATGCCTCAGATCGTGTGTTCTTGTGCAGTTTATTTCATTTGGATTCCTCCATTCAAACACTTGAGAGTATCAAAAACATAAATATGTACCTGATGTGAATTAATTGTATACCTAGTATTTGATACATTAACACTTTTCCGACAGGAAATTTCCAATTCTCTAGTAGGGGCAAATATTCCCCCCTCTTCATCAATTCACACTCTGTTCACAAATATGCGAAGCAAAAATTATTTTATAAGAAATAAAATCTTGAAAATTCTAGATTGTTCGTCTAAAATTGTGTAAGTAACAAACAGATGAAACGTAAGTTCACGAGTTGATGTGAAAAAATATTTTATTTTGCTCTAGGAAATTTATGACACCCCTCAATAATTTCAGAGATTGGGTATTCTTGCCAGACTCCCAAAAAACTTATTTTTTCCACGAACAGGAGGACTTAGATTATTCTCATTTTGAATATGTTTTGACTTACACTTCTTAACTGAACGATTATTCTGAAAATATTGCAAAATGTTCTCTTTAAAATAGTCGAAATGGAGAAAAACGTATTTTTAATCTTCGCTCTTTTCACTAAATTTTCAACAGATAATGTTGGCTACTAAAATTAGCCAATGGATAGTGTGTGGACACTGATATATATTTGTTCATATCTAATTTTCCAAGATTTGTTCATATTTATTTTATGAGCGGGCGAAAACACTGGTTATGTAAAATATTACACTACTAGGGTATTATAATTACAATAATGTTCTTATTACTATACGATTGATCGTTAATAATAGAGGCCACAGCATTCTGTACCATCTACACGTTTTACAATTGTAATTTATAATTCAAGAAATCACTTGTTTATCGTATGCAATTGCATTCGAAGTCGCATTACCACATCAATCATCAAGATTCACGTGAGCACTGTATTGATACTCATCACAGCTTGCACAACATTTTAGTTACGCATTTGATTGACAGAAAACACAACAATAAAAAAACAGAAAACACAAAAAAAATAATTATAAGATTATAGAGACGTCTTTACGGCGTATTTGACAGCTATTACAACTATAATAATTCAATTTCAAGATATTACCAAATAAATATCATCAAACATTTCTAAAATAATCTAAAGTGTTTTAACGACATCATCGAACCTTAAATATGTATTTTTCATTCTCATACAAAAATGTATTTCCTCATGTAACTTCAATAAGACGTGTAATTATTAAAGACACGTTTAACATCTAAGTAAGTTTCTGTTGCACGAACGCCTGGTACTTCAAAAAAGCCCCAAAATTAACATTTTTTACAAAATCAGAACAAACTGCAGAAAATGTACAATCTATTTTTCGAATGCAGCCGATTAACGAGAACATGTTTCACTACTTTCACTCAGTGCACAGCTTTGTTTTTTTCAAATCTCGTTACTTATTAAGAACGTAACTTATAGTTCCCTCAACCATTACAATTAGTTCTAAGTTGTTTTTATGTTCGATTTAAGAGTTAGCCCACAAGCCATCTAATGTAATGTATGGTTGTGAGTAAGTTTCTCATGAATTTGCATTCATATTTTTAAAGTTCACTATGCGATTTTAAAAGTCAACAATGTACGAGTATTATAGTATTAAATAAAGTGGAAAATAATATAATTTTTTAGTTTGATGAAAAATCGCATATTTCCGTGCGTAAAGAAAGCCCAAGCGCTTTCGTGGCTCGTGCTGCAAATGCCTGCGTTGCGACTCACTGAGCGGGCGCGTGAGGGTCCCGCGTCCCTCGGCCGTGTCGTAGGGCCCCCAGGTGCCCTTGTAGACGGCGCGGTACTCCCAGCCCATGGCCCAGGCGCGGCGCATGTCCGTGAGCGACGGCCACTCGCCGGGGATCTCGCCGAACCAGCGGTCGTGGTAGTACTCGTCGTCGTCGTCCATCTTGAGCGGCGTGTTCAGCCACGACATCTGCGCCGCAAGCGCCGGTACCCTTTTAGCGGCCGACCGCGATGTTCGTAACGACCGGGAAGGGCATTTCGCCCTGAGGAAGGTCGCAGATTGGAGCCTGACTAGGACGTGGCGGAGAGGCAAGTAGTTATTGTCTCCGGCCGCACAAGCCTACGCTCGCATTTCTTCAATATGTTCCGGAAACACGTAATATCGTGTGTTACATTACCATTTACGTACGAATTAACACATTTATTTATATATTTATTTATTTATATATTTATTTATTTATATATTTATTTTGATATTTATTTATTTATATATTTATTTTGATATTTATTTATTTATATATTTATTTATTTATTGCGATTCAGAGACCCTTTAACGATGACCTAAACAATGATAGCCATAACGATGATGAAGTGAATGTCGAAGGCCGAATGGCCGAAGGAGAGGCAGGAAAAATTAGAGAAACCCGAGGAAACCTTACGAGGGTTTCCTTTACCCACCACAAATTTCAGCCGCTTGCGCCGAAATCCGGAGGTCGTTTTGTTTAAGCTTTGATGAGTTTTGAAAAAGTTTGTTAGTATTAATGAATGAGAGCATGGAATCGGAGGGAATATGGCAAAATAAATAAATTCTCTAGGTTTGCTTTCTGACCTAGATCGCGGGGTTATATTAGTAGTTTCGAAATATCCAGAGTATTGTTTTCTTTTCACGTTTTGGAGGAAACGTTGCGGGTCTGTCAGTGTAGAGTTTTAAAATCAAGGAAACTTCTCGGGCGTGTTCAGTGACGAAATCTTCATCACAAACACCACTTCTTTTGGTGGCCATTTCCGCGTCGGCATTTCAGTAAAATGTTCCGGAAACACGTAAAATCGGGTGATAGTTATCATTTTATTATTATATAACAAATTTATTTTTTCATTTATTTATTTATTATTTCTTAATGAATAATTAATTATAAACTATTTATTTATTATAAATTGTTTATTAATTATTTTTTTCATTTGTTTATTTTTCATTCCTTTATTCGCTTATTGCGGTTTGGTAGGCCTTGTCACTCCGTTGGGACTCACCCTCTCCATCTGCTCGCGAGCCTTCACCACCATCGCCTCCTGGCGCCGCTCCGCGCTGTCCAGCAGGTCCGCCGGGGACAGGCCGGGCGCCGGGGACAGGCCGGGCGCCAGCGAGCGCCGGTGCACGTGCATCGACATGATGGACGCACGGCCGCGCCTACGCACGCACGCACACGCGTCGCCTCCGTCAGACTCTCCCCCCTCTCTCCCTGCTCATTTGGTCTGATTCGAAGGGAAGTTGGCGGGAGAAGGAACCAATGAGACCGTGCAAAGATTCAAAACTGCAAATATTGTGTTTTTCCGCCTATTCTCATACTGCGCGTACCGGCGGAGTTATCAAACGCAGTGCAGCATTTCTTACGATTCATCTGATATTATTCCCCCCCCCCAAGCTCTGAGAAACAGGCTGTTTACCATTAAATATTTTCAATCATGTGCGGCGTTATGGAACAGCAACTTTTTTGTATGTAAATAACTGTTGTACTGCATTTACACTTGTCAATGTTATTGCAGTATTGAGGATGAGTTGTGGTAATGCTCGTAGTATTCAATAATATATTGCACTGTTGTAGACAAGCGTTTCATGTTGTACTTCAGTAGTGTGTGCTGTTTCCTAAAAAAACATTTTGTGTAGTTTCGTTCAGCAGCATTTTTGCTGCTTCGGACCAGAATTAGCGATCATTATATTCCGCTTTAAAGAGAGTCACACTTCACGTTTACGAACTGGAAGGAGAAAGGGACATTACCATCCAATAAGGAGCTCCAATGCCAAACATTTAAGTTGTAACAAAGTTCCCGTTTGGATGACATTATACCACTCTCCGCCCAGCTCGTCACTTTGAAGTGGCACATTGTTTAAATTGGATTACATCACGAGGTAGATCATTGTAAAATTATACAAGAGATGATGAAAGGAAAGAGAGAAGGAAATGATGTATGTTGGAGAAATATAATAATAATAATAATAATAATAATAATAATAATAATAATAATAATAATAATAATAACAATAATAATAATAATAATAATAATAATAATAATAATAAGCCCTCAGCTATCCCTTTAGACCGAAATATAGTTGTTTCTGTTGCCGAGAAGCGAAAATATCAGGCCTTGGCCATTGAATTGAGCGACATGTGGCGCTTAGTATGTGTTGAAGTAAGTAGTCCCTGCGGTCATCTCTGCAAATGGACTGATCTCAGAAGAACTAATTTCACCGTCGGTAAGTCTTGGCCTTAAGATCTGGCACATTCAAACAATGCAAAAGGCTGTTCTCCTGAGTACTGCACGCGTCGTTAGGAAGTTTCTAGTGATATAACTGACCGCCCGAGTTTGCAAGCGAAGCAAGCACCTTGGTTCTACATAAGTCCCTGTGTCTGCTATAGGTACCTCGTTAAGCGACAGACTTGAAGAAATAATAATAATAATAATAATAATAATAATAATAATAATAGGAGGCGCATTGTACCAAAGGTCACTGTAAAGTCAGTGGAAGAACTAGATATAAAAAAAATATTTTGATAAACATGCAGAAAGCGGTAATACTAATACTGTTCTTTGGTTACGAGAATCTATGCGGTTCAGATTTAATAAAAATTTTGTTGAAAATTTTTAATATACAATTCAAGGGTTTAATTTTTATATGTTTGTGTATATTGTGTGTATTGTATGTGTCTGTGTAAGTGCTGTGGTGAAAACTGGTAAGCGCTATTTAGTAACTCTGTAAGTATAGGTGATATGCTTGATATGTATCTGTGTGATTACTGGTAATTCAGAACTGTGAATAAAGGATAATATAATAATATAATAATAATCAATACTAATAATAATAAATAATTAATAATAATATATATAGTTAGTAGTAGTAGTCGTAGTGGTGGTAGGTATGCTTGCGCCCGATGGTGTCGGGGGGGGGGTGCCGCGTGTCTAGTTGCGGCCGGAGATCTTGGAGGCGACGGGCGCCCAGGACTGGCGGGCGCGGCGAGGACTGGCGGGCGGCGACAGCCGACTGGCGGCTGCGGCCGGTGGGTCGCGCCCCAGCGACGGGCCCGCGCGTCCGTCGCCGGCGGCGACGACGACCCGGCCTGCGACGACTCCGACGGCGACGGGCTGCGGCGTTGCGCCGACGACGCCGCCATCGACACGCGCCGCTTCTGCGCACGCGCACCCGCCGCGAACGTGACTTCGGTCGCACAACAGTCGGCGCGGCGAACTGGTGTGCTCAAGTTTGCGGATGCAAAGCCGATTGAAGTAGCAGCGCATTGGACGGGTGGACTCACGTTTGACCCGATTGACGTACGAGAAAAATTTCCTTCGAAGGGGAAGTAAAGCCGGCTGTCCCCTCTGGTAGATTTACAGCATGTAAAAGATCCTCAAGTCTAAAGCAAGTCTCTGAGCAAATTTCAAATCGCCTGTTTAACTAACGATGCACGATTCCAGGGCTGCTCCAGGTGGCAAAATCGTGGTTTCGTTTGGTTGATTAGCGTTTTCGTGCTACTAAGGTCATTGGTCCTCCAAGCGTAGTTTGTTTTTTTTTATAGCGGGAGGTGGTCGAGGTCTTCCCTCGCTGGGTGGCGAGATACGGATCCGACCTACACGTCGTCGTCCGGTTTTTCCCCAACCAGGTATCCCCTACGAGCGGGACATCGCCCCAGCAGGGACAAACCCGAAGCTCTCGACTGGTCTCTCGACATGTGTAGTAGTGTTGTGTGTAAGTGTGTGTTTAAGAAAGACGTGAGGATAGGGCAAGGATCAGGAAGGAAATATGGCGTGCGTTCCATGGCCCTTTTGTTAGAAAAGTACACCGGCCCCTGGTGTTGATCAGAGAAATCACAGAAAATTAGCGATCAGAGTAGCTGACCCCTAGAATTCTTATGTCGATAGCAGCTGAATTCCACTTAGAGGGACGGAGAGAGGGAGAGACAGGAAGAGGGAGAAAACGAGAGAGACGAAAAAAGAGGGAGAGGCGAAGAGAGAGGGAGAGAGAGACGAATAGAGAGAGACGGAGAAACGAGGTACGGAAAGAGGGAGGGAGAGACGGAGAGACGGAGAGAGAGGGAGGGAGAGACGGAGAGAGAGGGAGGGAGAGAGGGAGATGAAGGGCAGAACAAGGGGAGATGAATGGGTTCCGCTGGTTTACAATAAATCAAGAAATATCTAATTTTAATAATAATAATAATAATAATAATAATAATAACAACAACAACAATAACAAACTTACTTGTTTGCTTGTCATTTCAGCCTGTCTTCCTGAGACAATTTCCTGCGAAACGGACTTCCTGGCGTCCGGGAAACTCAAATCAGAAAAATTCAGTTTTCTCCTCGTTTCCAGCGAGTCGTCCGATCCACTGCCCCTCTTCGCGTCTGCATCCAGCGCCAGTATGATGTCCCTGACGGACGTGACGGTGTCCTTGTCCGGGGGGACGTCCATCAGCATGATGGAGCCCTTGGGCTTCTTCGTCGGCCGAGCGCCAGACGTCACGTGATCCGCGTGGGGGCCCGCGCCGTGCTTGGCCGGCTTCATGGCGGAAGGCGCTTGCGCCGAATGGACGCTCTCTAAAGCGCTGCTCAGAGCCTCCTTGATCGCTGTTCGCTGCGATTCCGGCGGCTGAACATTGACATCTCTGTCTTCTTTACTTGGCATTGTGCAAGGAACGATGATATCGCCTGGGCTGATATTCCTATCAAGCAAATCAAAATTTAAAAAAAAAAGATTAATAACACACCAAGTGTTAGTGCATAAAAGCAAGGATGTATGCCTACATCAAAAATGAGTGAAATGCACTTAAAGCTAGTATAACTGGCATTATTTCTGTTGAAGGTGAAACAGATATGTAAAAAGAACAATTTTGAAAATATATTTTCAAATGTATATTTTTAATCATAAAATTGGAATATTAATACCCAACAAAAACATGCCATAAAATTCCCTGAGGCATTATAATGGTAATGAATATAATTAGCAATGTACAATTTATTCTCCAACAACATGCACTACTGACCAGAAACTATACGAATGCAAAATAATAACTCGAAGGAACTTTTGGATATAAGGTTCATAATTATCACTTACTCGTATTAATACACACATACTATTGATCATTAGAGGTACATTCGTAATTAGAAATTTTAATAGAGGATATTTTAGAAAAAAGTACTAGAAAATGGGGGAGAATTCATATTTTCCTTCAAAATATGCATATTCGTAGCTCTTATTTTTGTGTGAAATTCCATATCTATTGAAATACAAGGAGTGTTGTAGAATTTAGGCAAAAGATGTTTATTATGAATGTAGATTGTACGGTAAACTAGTTTGTTAATGAAAATATTTCAATACTGTGTTCTGCGTTTTTAAAGATTCTGATTTTTAAAGGGAATGTCCATTAAAGATATTTGATGCGGTGTTTTTGATGTATTTCATCACTTGAAGAAAATAACGTAGTCTAGTCACGACAAGGTTAAAACGATACCATAATTAAATTATCTTTTGAATATTACCGAACAAAATACGAAAATAAACAATTATTATAACAGAATCCTTAGTAAACAATTGTTCAACTAGAGTTTCAAAAGTAAAAACCTCTTTATACACAATTTTTGACTGAATCATCTATAAAGAAAATTCAAGAAACGATGGGCAATCAGATTTCAAAACAGAGTTGCTTAGAAAATGGATTGAAAATCATAGTTTTCTTACTATGATACTAATATTTCTTACTTCAATTTCGAGAGTAAAAAACTCACTTAGATCGAAGGTGAAAACATTTTCAATCTTTCCTCGTAATTCTGATTCTACTTCATATTTTACATATTATCAATTTATTAAAATTAAGGAATAAGAACATCTTAAAATCTACTATAAATTAGACATAACTGTGAACAAGTGCATTGCACACCTCAAAAACAACTTATCTAGCACACATATTTCAAAATTATTTGAAACATATAACATAACTATATTAACATTTAAAAATAAAGTCATGCTTACCAAAAAAACTGATGATCTGTGGATTTTCTCTACCTCTCTCCACTAGATATCAAAGTCACTCACGGTTATTAAAACGATCTTTCAGTTTCCCATTGGCAAAATGATCTCAAAATAATAAATTCTTACAAAAACGTAAAAAGTGTTAAATAACATAAAATATTATGTTGAGT